GGGGCCGGGGCCGCGCCCGGCGGCGCCTTCCTGGACGTGCTGGCGCGCTGCGAGGTGTCGCGGGTGCTGCTGCTGCTCCTGCTGCAGCCGCCGCCCGCCAAGCTGCTGCCCGAGCACGCCCGCACGCTGGAGCAGTACTGCTGGGAGGCGCCCGACGGCGGCGCGGGCACCGGCGGCGCCTCCGGGGCGGGCGGGGCGCTGCCGCCCGCCGCCAGCTACCTGCCCGCCGAGCTGTTCCTGCTGCTGCAGTCGGCTGTGCTGGCCTGCCAGGAGAAGGACGCGGAGGCGCTGAAGGCGCTGCAGGCCGAGCTGTGGCCGCTGCTGAGCGCCGAGCAGAACCACCTGCTGCACCTGGTGCTGCAGGAGATGCTGAGCCCCGCCGGACAGGGGCTCTGAGCGCCGCCGCCCGCAGGGACCGCTCGGGCTGGCCGCTGCAGCCCGTGCCAGCACAGACTCTGTTCCGTTATTTATTTTTAATACGAGTTGAAGCGATGGTTGGTGAGAGAATGCGTTCATCTACACGTTCGCCTTGTGTCATAGTAAACTGCTCACTGTATGTACTGAAAGTTGTGCTTGGAAAAAGTGTAACCCTGAAGCAGAAAGGCCATTTCAGGGCAGAAGGAAGCTGTTCATTAAAAGACTGGCTGCAATTTGCATGTGTCAGAGGATTTGGGTATCTATGAATCAAATGCTGTTAGAGTTGCTTTTTCTAAAAAGTCAAACAAACAAAACCCCCGTATAAAAAATAAGGTTTTCATTTTCCCCCCTCCTGGAAACAACTGTCACTGCAGCCAACACGAGGCCCTCAGTTTTGTGGTGGGTGAAGGGAGTTGGTCACTGACCTGCAAGGGGGTGGTGGTGGTTTGACTCCAGTCCCTGTAGCAGCTGTTAACCCCGAGAACTGAGCCTGCACGGTGGCAAATCCACTTCATCTTAGGGAATTTGGGATGGGAATTCATGGTGGAGGTGGTGGCTGCAGGAGTTATTGCAATGTGGGCTATTTAATTCCTTTCACCTGTTATCCCTCTGCTCTTGGGCATTTCTGTCTCTTGCTTTCTGCTTCTTGGGGCCTGTAGGTGAAGGCAGATGGTTTTTAGAGGGGAAAAAGCCCTGCTGTGTTTGGTGCCCTCAGCTGTTGGGTGCAGGCTTTGCTAAATCCCAGCAGTGCCAATGTACAGCCTCAGGCAGGGCAGGCTTTGTCCTGGAGGCTGGAGGTGCCCCGGGGGTGCGTGTTGGGTGGATGAAGAGCAGTTCCAGGGTACCCAGCTACTGCTGAGTGAAACAAACCCTCAGCCAGCACTTCCAGAGACCCTGCAGGGGCCGAGGCTTTTGCAAAGAAGGCAATCCCGTTTGTACTCCTGGGGGAGAAGCCAGAGCTTAGAGGCAATTGTGTTAAACAGCGGTTTTATGTTTGGGTCTGGAGACAACAGCTTTTTCAAACGCTTTTCCAGTGTTTGTTTTTCAAGTGTTTTTCACCTTCCACACTTTAAATAACGAAGGATTTGCCGTTTTCCCCTCTGAAAGGCAAACAGAGACGCTGCTAATTTTAAGAATTACCACAAGCCTCTCGTGACAGGGCAGAATGGCAGTCGGGATAGGCTCGGAGCCGAGCTGGGTGCTGCTTTATGGCTGAGCTAGCCAGGCCGAGAGGCAAAGCCAAGAACCCGCGCGCCGCTCACACCCGGCACACCGGGCGGCGCCGGGCGGGGCGGGGCGCTCACCGCCGCCGTGTGGCTCCCGCAGGTTCCAGCGCGAAGAAGCGGCGCAAGAAGGAGAAGCGGGCGCTCGCCGAGGACGATGTGGCGGTGAGCGCGGGGTCGGGGCGGTGCTCGGGCTGCCGGGGGTCCCCCAGCCGTGGGTGGGGCAGGGCGGGCTCGCCCCGCTGCTCCCGGCGGAGGCTCCGCGCCACGTGGGGAGGCGGCCCGCCGGCTCCCGCGCTGATCCCGCTCACCTTCCTCCCCCCCAGGACATCCAGCACACCGAGGACTTTCTCATCAAGCCCGAGTCCCGCGTGGCCCGGCTGGACACGTCGCAGTGGCCCTTGCTGCTGAAGGTAGGGCGGGTGCTCGGCCTCGCGGCCCCCCGCTTTGTGCTCTGCCCCGCACGTGGTGCTCTGCCCTGCCCGCAGACACCGCCTTAGTGCCTCTCCAGCTCTGTCGTTTGAGTTTTCTGAGTTTTCTGTGCCTCGGGAAGATCCCGCCGTATTTCTTGAGTTTTTAATTCGGTTCTGATCGTGGCCTGTGCTGTGTGTAGGCTTCCAAGTTGCTTCTGCTGAGTTTCTGGGGAATGTTTGGTTTATCCTGCATTGCCAGTGCATATATTGTGCTGCTTCTCATCTCCTTCAGTCCAGGATTTTTATTTTTCTCTATTTTTTTAGAATAATATCGTGGTTTCATTGTTGGGTCATTTTCATTTTGGAAGTGGCTCTATCACTTAAATAAGACCTGGTGAATCTGGGGAGATGTACTGCAGCACAGCAGCACTGAAATCCAGGGAGCTTAAAAAGACTTGTAACTTCTGCTTGGATTTTGTAGAACTTTGACAAGTTAAATGTGAGGACAGCACACTACACACCTCTTCCTTCTGGTGCTAATCCCCTGAAGAGAGAGATTTCTGACTATGTTAGGTGAGTGCAATACAGGCCAGAGTGGTTTGTTTTTCTTTCACAGGTAATACCTTCAAAATATTTTCTGTTTGGATTCCTCTTGTACCTTTCTTCTTCCCTCAGTGCCTTGCCAGAATCCGTAAACATTTAAATAGGACCCACTGATGTCTCCCTGTAAAGTTTTCTTTATTTTGGGGTTGTAGAAGGCCTGTGGATGAACATGCAAACCACCTAAGGAATTCTCTGGGGTCTTCAGGAAAGTCCCTTGGCCTGCTGGGCTTTGAAACTGCTTGGAGTTCTTAGGATTTGGGGATTTTTTTATATCACCTGTTGTGCATGGAGCAGCTCAGTGCGAGCTTACTGAGAGCTGCTGGGAGGCTGATTGCTTATCTGGCTGTATAGAAATACATTTCTTTGCAGCCAGGACAGTATTTCAAAGTCACTGCACTGTTGCCATGTCTGCCCTGATGCTCAGCTCCCATTCCCTGCCATTTTGCCCCCCAGGTCTGGCTTTATTAACCTCGACAAACCCTCCAACCCCTCCTCTCACGAGGTGGTGGCGTGGATCCGGCGCATCCTGCGAGTGGAGAAGACGGGGCACAGTGGCACCCTGGACCCCAAGGTGACTGGGTGCCTCATTGTGTGCATCGAGAGGGCCACACGGCTGGTCAAATCTCAGCAGAGTGCAGGTTTGTTTGGTGCTCGGGGCCATTTCCAGTGACTGGGCTGCATGAAGTGCTTTTGGAGACAAAATGGAGGTTTCTAAAATTTCAAAAGGCCAGTTTTAGTGTTCAGTGCCTTGACATTAAGAGTTACTCCAAGCCACTGAGGACACATCCATATTGTCTCACATGTTTTTTTCATTGCTTCTCTGGTGCTTGGGCTGTTACAAGTCAGTGAAAACACCTCTGACATGGTTTGATGTACCAGTTGAACTTCGGGCTTCAGCCTCTACCAGACCAGAGAAGAAATAAATGCCACTTAGATTTATTTCCCTGGAAGAAAAACCAACTCTGTAACAAACCATGCCCATTTCCTAGAAGAGGTGGTAGGATTTCAGGGTGGCTGTTAAGCAGGGTGGACCTGGAGGTCAACATCAAATGCCAGTGGCCGTTCCTGACTGCTCTTGTCATTCTTTCAGGCAAAGAGTATGTGGGAATTGTTCGGCTGCACAATGCCATTGAGAGTGAGGCTCAGCTGGCCAGGGTAAGTCTCATGTGCTCTTAGCCACGCTGGCATCTGGCATGCAGAGTGCTGGGCACTGCTGGGAGATGAGAGGCCAGGAGGGGAGCTCAGGTGTGCTGTGTGTGAGGTGATGACACAGTTTATCCATTCTCTGAGTGCAGTGCAGCTGCCCTCCTGCAGCACCCAGCTCCTGTTCTAGGCTCTGGGTGCTGTGCAGCCTCCAGACACCCTGCAGTGTGCCATTGTCCTGCTGGGGCTGCTGGGATGTGTGGCTGGCTGCCTGCAGGAGGGGAGCAGTGCTGGCAGGGTTGGAGCCCCTCTCTGAGGGCTCCATCCTCACTGGGACCAGTCACTGGTGTCTGATCACATGCTGCCATCTAATGGAAACATCCTGGCTGTGTTCACTGGCATCTTGACCACATCACTGGCTTGGATTTGCTGTATTAAATACGGCATCACCAAGTCAGGATAAACCTTGTGGTTTCTCACTCTTGGAAGTGGGCACAGTTGCTGCAGACTCCAAGGTGCTCCAACACTAGGGCACAAGTGTTAACTCCTGCTTCTCCTTCCTCCCTCAGGCCATAGAAACCCTGACAGGTGCCCTGTTCCAGCGGCCCCCCCTCATTGCTGCTGTCAAACGACAGCTGAGAGTCAGAACCATCTACGAGAGCAAGCTGGTGGAGTATGATCCTGAGAGAAGATTAGGTAAAACAGGCCTTTCCTGCCTTCTTCCTACAAAACTGACAACTGATAAAATTTTCTGTGAAATGAGCTTTTTTTCTGTGAAAAAAAAAAAAAAATTGTGAACATTTTTTTCAGTGAAATTTTTTTCTGTAAAATGGACATCTGGTTTTGGTAGATGTCTTAAGACTTTAATCCTCCCATTGTCCAGCAGTAACTGCTTCGTGCATTGCTTTGGTGTGCTGGGAAGCAAATCCCATCTCTTTCTGTGCTGCTGCACCCTTCACAGAAGAGCCAAATGATGTCAATTAGATGGCATTAGCTCTCAGGGCAAAGATGACCTTCATCTATCACCCCATGCTGATGGCTCTGGGAAGGGCTGGGCATACAGCTTCTCTTGAAGGATCTGGTTTATTTTCTGCTTAAAAACCCTTCATCCTGTCGTGCCTTCCAGGAATCTTCTGGGTGAGCTGTGAGGCAGGCACGTACATCCGGACGCTGTGTGTGCACCTGGGGCTGCTGCTGGGCGTGGGGGGCCAGATGCAGGAGCTGCGCCGAGTGCGCTCGGGCATCCTGGGAGAGACGGTACGGTGCCACCTCTCATGCCAGCCCCTTTGGGATTGTCACTGCTGCAGCAGCTCCCTGGGACTCTGTTTTAGTGTTAGGAGGAGGTTTGTGAATAGCCCCCCCAGTGAGAGCTCTTGCTGTGGGTGGATGGTCTGTAACCAAAGTGTTGAGTTCAGTTCAGGATGTTGCTCCTGTTCTGGTAATTAAACTTTGGGACAGTGAGTGACTGGGAAGTGCACTGTGGTGGCTAAAAGTTTGTTTTATGCCACCTGTGTTTCTCAGCCTACAGACCCCAGTGTCCCTTGAGTTCAGGAGTGTGAGGTGACTGCTTGGAGTCAGCACAGCTCAGGGCATGTGCTTCATTGGAGTGTGCCTGGGAGGTGCAGTCCTGTGAGATCTTGGACACTTGTACAGTCTTTTCACTCTGGTCATAGACAGATCCTGCTGCTGGTCCAAGCTCCAGAACTAACTTATTTCTTTGCAAAGCAGCAGTATCAGTGCAAGTGCTTCCCCACCCATCTGTGCTCTTAGCTCTGTAATCACTGGGTCATTTATGAATTCCAGGTGTTGGGTGCTCACAGTTTCCTCACAATTTATTCCCTGCCACAGGTTAAAGAG